AAAATTAACCTAATCTAAAGCATTTACCATTTACCAAATCACCAATAAGCAATCAAAATTAAAGACTGGAAGTCTGGAATCAGGAATTTGAAAATTAGAATTTTTACCCGAAGGCCGAATCAAAAACCTAAGTCGCGCTGCCGCCGCTGCGCACAGGCAGCCTCCTGGTCGGCATCTGGACAGTCTGGTCGGCGGTCGCACTTCGCAGACTCGCAACGAGCCAGGCAGCCACAGCCACAGGTCGTGTCGTGTGTCGTGTCTTCTTCCGTTCTTCGCTTCGGTACTTCTTCCCTGCTTCGCCACAGGTCGTGTCTTCCCTGCTTCCTTCGTCGTTCGTCTCTTCCAGATTAGGACCAGAACTGTGAGTGTGAGGCAGTGAGGGGCCTCTTACAAAATCATGTTGGGGGCCCAAATGAAGAAAATTAAAAATTACAAGTTAAAAAAAAATTATTGGGCTTTGAAATTATTTTTTTGTTGGGGGCCCAGGACCCCAATCCCTCCTCTTTGCATCCGCCCCTGCATGAATGTCTACCTTACGACTTCAATGCTCTATATAAACCATTCAAAACATGTCTGTTTGATTTACCAAATACATCACTTCCAATGCTCTATATAAAACATTAAAAACTTGTCTGCTTGATTTACCAAATACATCAAAATACTTAAAAGATGATATACTTGCAATGAAAAGGGGTTCAGGTGTTCATAGCCATACTTGCAATCGCTTTTGCCCACACTATGTTAGTAAAAGAGAAAACACCAGTGCCTGGAGGTCCCGGGTTCAATTCCAAGGAGAAATAAAAATCCCCTTGTGTTCAAATGCGGTAACTCTGTGCTATCCGCAAAGCAGGTGATCGCCCTGGGATTAGTCGGCTCGCATAGCGGGTTGGATATCCAGGTTAATAAAAAAAAAAAAAAACATCATAAATGGAAGGCACCATCTTAACAAAATCTCTTGGATATAGGTAATAAGCCATCACCAAGTGGAAGAATAATGTGCGAAGGCTTGTGGATGAATGTAGTGGTGAAATTATATGATACTACAGAAAACGTAGTATGTTCCTTAACTCTTTCCCCATACTAGTAATGTCTCAATTCATTTCACCTACAAGCTCCCAAAGCCTAACCTCAGGGGCATGAAACCAATACACAGGCAGTAGTCCTGACAACTTAGCACCAACACATCAAGTGTCAAGCTATTTGCATAAATGCATTTATGAAATGGGGTTGTGAGTCAAAAACATATAGGTGCCTGAACAGTCTTTTCCGATGTCAAATGTCTTCATGCATACTTCACACATTAAATGTTGATGAATGGAGCTAAGTTCTATCAAACAAAGAACTCTGGATGCCTCGAATCATAAGAATCACCTGTGAAAGCAGCCGTGCGGCACCTTGAAGTCGCACCAGAAAAGTATGTTTGCCACCATCAAATTTTCTTTGTTTCCAACTGCGGTATACAACAATGTCAACTTGAATTCAACAGATTCAGTTTTTGTCTGAAAGATCTGAATTCTTTTGGTGCTGTAGAAACCCATGGCAAGTCACTTCCCCATATCATCCCCACCCAGCTTCTCTCCTACTGATATTGTCCCTCTCTACCCCTTACCTCATATCTTCCCCACTCCAGACCCATTCTAAATTCTATTAGATTTTAACACACTTTTTTGCATTGAAAATACAGTTTATTTAATCAAAACTAAGAAACAAAAAAATAACATAAATTATAAATGTGAGATGTTTTCATGGCAAAGTTTATGCATGTGTGTATATATGGGGGCCAGATATGGGGTTTTGAGCTACATCCCATATATGTTCCATAATTTAAATCAGGTTTAAAAAATTCTACTATCAGCTCTGTGTGGGCCTGGGTGAGATATGACGCCACAAGAACCTGTCCCACTGCAATCTCTTACAAGCACCAAGTAATGAAAATCACAAACGCGGACTCAAAGACATTAAGGGATTAAATGAGCCCTGGATATATCCCTTGTAAAAGTGTTTAGGGTATTTTTGGGATTAATTATCTGGTAGAACTAAATAGCTACATTTGATCGCACACAAGGTGGGATGCAATCCATTTTCATTTGAGAAATTCTTATCAGAACTTTAGGGGACTAGTAACTTTAGTGGTAATACCTTTCAAAGAGGTTCACCTTTTGCTTAGGTCGATTCCCATTGATGACAAAAAAAGCAGAATTAACAATATCCTCCAAGTTAGTTGATTGAAGAAGCTTAGAGTCTCTCCTCACCTACATTACAAGAATTTTGTTCAGTGTTCAAGGATGATATGTTTCCTTCGTTTGAAGAATCAATGCATAGAAAAACAAGGAAATTTCGTAACCCCAATCTTCATCTAAAGTTCTCAAACCCGCTTCAAATGTTTCGTCAAGAAAAAGTTGAGAACTTTGAAGAAAAATGTAAGCTAAGAAGAGCTGAAAAAGTTAATAAGCTCCGTCGTATTACTAGATCCATTTGTAATGAGTTACATAAGGAAGATCATGAAGAAATCAGCAGCCCTCCGCCACCCCTCTCGGCCGTGGATGCTATGAAGTTTAATATCGGATGGAAGCATGAAGGTACTGCTGAAAAACTCGAGGATGATGTTAGAAGAGGAGAACTAGCACTTCCATCCATCGTCTCTAATCCCCCGTTGAAGGATTCTGCCACCTTGTTACTGCATGCAAACAATAATGTGGTTCTGCATGATTATCGACCTTCTAATACTGTGAGTAAAGGACTTGCTGCCTCTTTATGTAAAAACCAATCGATTCAGCCCCTCATGGCTGTCCGTTCTGAGTCATCTAAGAAGTTGCTGACTTGTGATGGGTTGCCGGAAATTCTGCCGGAAATGGCCTCTGGCCTGTCGTCGGTGACTGACTGACTCCGGCTGGCTCTTCTCCGCCTCGTTTTAGCCACCCTGTAGCTATTTCTGACAGCTACGTGGCCTTCTCCCATGATGATTCTGTCTCAGCTCTCAACGAACTTGGGTTTACCGATCTTGTGAAGCAGCCCGTCGTGAAGGATCTCTGCAGATTA